TATCAAGTGACCACGCAAGATAAGTTTGCATTGAAGATACAAGTCTGATGCTCAATTAAATACTCTTCATGCTGGAGGATGGAGGAGGAAACGACAAATCGCCCAAAGTGGCTGTTGGAACTAGAAAATCGTAAGCAAAAGGTACATTTAATTTCAACATGTAATTCGATTTAATTTGATTCAAGAGATGGGAAAGGAATGTAATGTAGATACTACCTATATAAAATTAAGATTGAAAGTCATTAATTGATTGTCTTACGTTTGCTCAGCCACGTTTAGCGCATGAAGCTGGAGCTGGTGCACCATGCACAAATTGTAATTCCATGTGTCCTGGTCTTGATCTTCATTTTTGGAGAAAAATTTGCAAGAATTGTAAATGTGGTCGGGACGATCACGATGTCGATGACGATCAATTCCCACAATTTGATCTACTATTTGGATCAAGCGGAAAATTTAAAAAGAAGTCCATGCGTAAGTATTTTGTACGCGCGCGCGCGCGCGCGTGCGTGTGTGTGTATGCGGGTCCGTTTATATTAGAAAAATTGATCTTTAGGATTGCAAGTAAACAATAAGAAACAAAACGATGATGAAACTACATTCGAGTGGGTGCCGCCGGATACAACTAAAGAACTTGCTGTGGATTACATGAAAGCTTTGCCCACGGAGAAATTGCCAATTAAAGGATCAGCTGGTGCTGTTTTGAGAAGGCAGTTGTTGCAAAAACAACTACCGCTTCACGACATCGATTACAAAGTTTGTGATCAACTTAGCGAGCAAGAGCAGAAACAATTTGAAAAATATTTGGAAAACATAAAGAAATATGTAGGACAAGGCAAAGTGACGAAAGTAAGTAACAAGGCCACTTGATTATACATTAATTATTGTTATAGTTGCAGATTTGTAAGATGGTACAAGTATCATATAGATATTTATACGATTTATATCAAGGGCTTGCTTAAAGCGATTTTTCAAGTTTAACAAATTTATTTTCATATAATAAATACCACACATTTTGTTTTATATAATATAGAGATATTATTATTTTCACAGATGTTCGGTGCCCGTCCATTCGATCGTTCTCTAATGACACCTGTCAATGCAACTGATATGCAAAAGTGCAGTCCACAGCGTAAATCTCATATACTTTCCTCTGGTGTTCAATTACGTACGCCAAGTAGCTTCGCCATAAAAAGTCCGTATGCGAGGCACCTGTGTGATGCTCGTCAAAATAAACAAGCCACTGCTACAGCCATAAATAACAATGAGATCTTAATGAGGAGTACAGAAGAGTACAATTGTACATTGGATGCGTACAATGTGTCCGCCGGTAGCAACATTGCGAGATCGCAACCACTCGAAGGGAAATTGATTTATGAAAATCTTCAACGTGATACCGTATTGCAGGTAGACGAAAAAAATGTTGCAGTAGATGACAAGATAGTTAATTCTCCGATTTTCACACATCTCGCTGAGCAAGAAATCGTATCTGCTCGTGAAAAGCATACTTGTCGAAATTACGTACCTTACGGAGGAAATGCTTTCGAGCGACACGGAGAGATCCGATTGAATCACGTCGATACCACCATATGCACCGCAGCACATGGTGGAGAAGCTATTAATGATGAGACAGTTTTCTCCGCGGAATCCATATTTGCGGACGCCCTTCTTCCACCCAGTGCTATACACGCCAATGATATTATTGGCAGTACATTGGACGAGAAGGGATTGACATTTATAAGGGAGAAACTTGCCGATAAGTATAATAACGCCGCGAAGAATCCAGCAATGTACGCTGTGTCTAAATTCTCCCGATCGTTAGACACAGTAAATGACATATTACGTCCACGTGATGGTGGAGTTGAGGAAAATAACAATCCTGCTCGTATCCTGCATGTCGACAAACCAGTAGGGACGACACCACCTATTATCGCTGCTATAAATTTACTTCCTGCGTCAAGCCTCGCAGAAAAGGCAAAAGTAAGGAGCACTGATCCTTATGAAGCAGAAGTAGATAGAAAAATTTTCAATAAAGTCTCTCACTCTCAAGTAGTTGACTCGACTATTGTACCTGATAGTATCAAAGGAAACGAACGAAAGTCGCGACGTGACTTACTGTCGAATAACGAAACGGCAAATAATGATCCGTTGCTGACGGATACATTTCCATTACAGAAAGCGATTTCCATTACGGAAAGCACTATACGAGATCCCACATCTATGATTCCCACGAATGTCGTTCTATCGGCAAAAATAGAAACTCCTGATTCGCAAAATCCTATCGATGTATATATATCCAATCCGTTGCAGGCCGAGTTGAATAGTTCGGTTCTGCAATCGTCCGTGATACATTCCGAACAATTGCAAAACCAAGTGTTCCCTCACATCGTTGGAGGTGATACGCAACTTACGGACTCTCTACAAGAGGCCATTGAAGGTTTAAAGATAGATTCGACAAAAATGCACAAATGCGAAAAATGTCACGACAACATTCGCGTTGGCGACGTAGTCGTAATCGCGGAGAAGGCTAATAACGTATCCTGGCATCCTGGCTGCTTCGTTTGTTCAGTATGTAACGAATTGTTGGTGGATCTCGTGTATTTTTATTACAAGAATAACTTGTATTGCGGAAGAGATTTGGCTACGTTTCTCGGAATCCCTCGATGTTTCGCTTGCGACGAGGTAAATAAATCATTCTTCATTATACGATTCTCAAAAATTATATTTTGTATACTTAACAGTGGTGTTTTTGTTTTCTTTTCCAGTTGATTTTTGTACGGGAGTATACGGTTGCAGAGGGACACAATTATCACGTGAAGCATTTTTGTTGTTGGGACTGTGACATGCCATTGGCTGGGCAACAATATATTACCGAAAATGATCGACCACTGTGCCTTCCTTGTTATCAAAAATCATACGCAAAAACATGCGCTGCTTGTAATATAGTGATTGCTGCTGATCAACAAGGAGTAGCTATAAAAAATTTAAATTTTCATGCAACTCAAGTCTGCTTTTGCTGCTACAGCTGTAAGAGAAATCTACTCAATAGCAGAATGGCGATAAAGAAAGATAAATTGTTTTGTAGTAAAGAATGCATCGCCAAGTTTTTCAACTAGTGAATAGGTAAATAAGATAGAAAAAGTCCATCTTTCAATGTGTTGTTTTTCTTTTAAGAAAAATATAATTATAAATCCATTGGAACATAAGAAATATCAAGCGTTTATTTGCGAAAAAAATTCTTCAAGAATTTTCAAATGTTTTTCAGATATTTTTTATTAAAAAATTTAGATAACATTAAAAAATTTTCTAATATAACTTTGAAATAAATTGGAGTGTAAGCGCAATATAAACAAATCGTATAATGTAAATTAGTACAAGATAGGGATTTTTTCCACGAGACTACATTTATTATTTTCTACCACTAGGAGTCGTAAAATCTATAATATAGATAAGTATATCAGGGAGTAGTATGATGAAACTATTTTGTTCCGCTGGTTTTCTTGATAAAAAGTTGCAAACACATGAGAATGTTTACGAATATATGCGGATATGTATGCCATCGCTAATAGATTGTCAATCTATTTGCATTATAATTTTAAAGAAAAACGCTGAAAGAAACAAATATTTTTAGAAAGAGACGGAATTTAAATTTAAAAATAACATTTCCCTCAAGTACTGATAAAATTCCATAAAAATCTTTCATTTTCAATAATAAAAAAAGGGGGGGGGGTGAGGAGAAAAGAAATCCTCTGAGAATTCTAGATTTTCCCAGATATAAGTAAATATAAACCTTGAGTAAATATAAAAGAAATGTGCCATACTAACTATTAAGAGTTAAAAAAAAAGTGGAACCGTAATTGGTGTAAATTGCGCTCTATATTCCGTCTCGCACGAATATTGTGTAACATGATAAAAGTATCGATTTATCAACATCTTGAGATTTACAAATCAATTATAATTCAATCATTTATTGGACAAGCAATTGTTAAAAATATTTAGCTCGATGTGTTTTACTAAAGAGCCAAGCAAGTGATTCGTCACAAATTTTTACTTCCAAGAAATACAATAACTTACCAAGTGTTCTCTTTCCCTTCTATCTAATAATTTAGTTGGATGCATTTTGATATTGTAGACCGAAGAGAAAGATATAATAGAAATAGCTTTTCCTTGCTTTTTATAATTATTGAAGATACGAAATTGATATGATATATAATTTGAAGATATGAAAGAATCTGTGCTCTCGATTTGCTTTTTCCAATTGCTGTCTTTAACATTAGCTGAAGCTGCATGTAGATTTGAAAAATAAATTGTTTTTTTTTATCTATATATTATACGTTACAAATCAATCTCTAATATGTACTTGAAGATATAATGTTATTTTTTCCATTTAAGCAAAACACGTCACTCATTTCAATCATTTGGTAGTATAAATCTTATAGAATTTCTTGTTTTACGTTTAGTTTTTTTCTTATTTATATACACAATTATCATTATTCATACCAAATAAGTGTTACAAATTCCAAAATCACCTTCATCGTATACAAGCTATCACCAACTTATCTTAAGTAGGGAAATAAGTCAATACAATGAAAATAAAAATTTGTCTTCGTATTTTCATGTATCAACGTATCGCGTGTTCACTGATCAGTTATGTCATGTTACCTTTCCTAGGCATGCAGGAGCGCGTTGATGGATTACATCCATTTTATTTATAAATGTAATGCTTATTTGAGAGCTCAATGTACTGATAAATATAATGGCTGCTAGAGAAGGTAGCTCAATATAATGACATTACTGATCAATATTGTTGATGTAACACGCGGTACATGAAAATTACTATTGATCGATAACTGCACATTATAATGTAAGAAATAATGATAACTAATATGATATATGAAAATTTAAAAACACAAAACATTCTACATAGACGTGGACAGCGTGCACATGTACACACACACACACACACACACACACACACACACACACACACACACACACACACACACACACACACACACACACACAAATTGTTGGCACCTGTTCTCTGATGTTTAAATATTTATAGCGAATTCGGCAGACCGCACTAGTGCGCACCGAGTGCGAATTTTTTCAATGTCACGCATTCGGCTTGTGCGCACTGTTTCAATGCGTTAAGATTATCGTTATATTCGTATCGAATATAATTTGATTATCGTTATATCGGTAAATGAAAACTGACCCAGTGTAATGCTGAATTTATATTTAGACCAATCGAATGAACTAAACGAGTTCAAAAAATGTTGCACCGATGTTTCTGACAGTGCAATTTGGCATAACGGTAAAGTAGTTCTGCACTTGTAGGGCAACACTAGAACGGAGTCAGTGTATGTGTGCCGAATTCGCCGAATATAATAAATTTATATTACAATTATATTCAACATTTATGAATCATGAGAACATACTATGTCCTCTATTCCGAATCACTATCAACAACAGTTTGAATACGCCTAAAAGTATTATGCTCTCGATATCGCGGTGGAGTGTCTGAAAGTGTCTTTTTAACGGTGGTATCCATACTTCTTCGTGCGCGCGTAATTCGTCCTGAAATAAAAACAAATTCAACGTTGCGCATAATGTCCATTATATAACATAGATGGACTGTAATATTAACCTTCAGATATAATGTTTGACATATCCAATTCAGATACCTCCTTCATCTTTTCATTTTTTTCTCTCACTCGTTTACATTTTTCCAACGATGGTTTACCATTAACGCCGTTTTTCTTTAATAATTCCTTCAGACGATTAACTTTTGCAACGTTATTTCTACAATCGGCCCAAATGCGATTGTACGATTGAACTTTCACACCAGCAACCTTTAAATATTTCTTCAACCTCTGTATCTGTTTATCTCCTTTCTGAAAATTTGACACATACAACAGTAAAAAATACATCCAAGTTTATATCATTGTAGGATCTATCTGTTAGAAAGCAACTTACATCATTACCACGGCTTCCCCTTCCACTTTTCATAGATCTCTCTTCTTTTCCGGAATTATTATCACTTTCATCGTCTTTACTGGATGATTCCGGGTTCGATAATTCTCCCTGCAGTCCATTCTTAATTCCAGTCGTTTTATTAGCTTTCTCTGCTGCAGTCGTATCGTCATCGTCGGACATTATACATTCAGTATTTTTTGAGTGAGAATTTCTTATGCCTCGTCCTCTTTTTGATTCGATCGAGCGATGTTTGTCGATCGATTTCCTCGTAGCTGGAGATTTTGTCATTTTCTTTTTCGTCCGTGGACTATAATCTTCATCTGAATTGCTATTCTGACTGTCCTCTGATCCAGAAGTTTTCAATTTACTAAAACTTGTTCGCGAACTTTTTTTCTTTGCTGCTTTTTCCCTGCTTTTTTCCGATTTGATCTTCAATGTGTCGGCGATCTGTTGCAAATCAAGCTTTTCTTCTTCTGACGAACAGTCTAATTCCGACTCATTTGGCTCTGCATTCACAATTATTGTCTTCGGTCGTGGTTTCACATCTTTTTCATCTTCACTCTCAGAACTAGATTCTTCCCTATCACTTGCACATTCCACGAAAAGCTCCAGTCCGTCTACCACTTCTGTATCGACAGTACATTTCTTAGCGGTATGTCGTTTTTTCATTTCATCCTCCTTGCTATTTTCCTCTCTAGTTATCGTTTTGTCATTTTCTTCTTCAACCTCAATACCTCTTGTTGTTTCTTTTTTGTTTTCAGGAATAGACATCACACTTGCATTTGTAGACTTTTGGAATGAATTATCCTATTTTTATTAAGAAAAACTAATTAAAATCACATAATAACCTGTGTTGATTGTATGGCTATTAAAAGCATCTAATAAATGGAATATTTCATCATGTTCAAGCTAATTCCAATATTACAAAACGATGAGTTTAAATATGCTACGAAATATCAGACAGAAGGTATAGCTAAAAGCCAAAAAATTTGCTACGCATGACAGAAAAAAGAATATCATATACACAAGACTTACATACGTAATAGGTAAGAATGATAAAAAACGAACGATATAAAAAAAAATAAATTTTCTCAGATTTCATTAGTAACATTGTATATTATTGTATTATTACCATGCTTTCCACAATTTCCTCCTTAATATTTATTTCTCCAGAATTTTTGTTTAAAGTCATATTATTCTCAATTTCTTTTTCATTTGTTTGCTTCAAATTATCTCCTTGTTTCTCCTTATTCTTCTCATCCATATCTGATTCAGATAGAGATACCTCTTGTACACTTTGCTGATTTTCTCGATACAATTTATATCTTTCCATTTTCACATAGCATCTTTCTGTATTATTTTTCTCTGAAATAGTTTCAGAGTTATTGCTCTCTAATATTTCTGACCGTTCATTAAATGTACATTGCCGTTTTTTAGATAAATCTATTTCGTCTTCAGAATCTCTTGGCCTTTTTTTTGATATGTCATCTATAGAAGTAGATGAAGGAGACGATAATTGTAGTTTTTCCATGTCTTCTGCCTCAATTTCACTGTGATCAGATTCTATCATTTTATAACAATAATCTGAAATAATTGAATATTTTACAGCTAAGCGTAATATTATAAATGATAAATGTAGAAAGCAAATGACAAATTGTCAATATGTGTGATTTAGGAAAATGTATGTATCAAAAATTATCAAGCAAAACATAAATAACAAACTCTCAACGATGTATGTACGATGGACTGATCTTTTGTCTAATTATATATATCGAATGACGTTCCGAGTTGACTGGAAAGTTTGTTTCACAATCAATGATGTGGAAAGAGAATTTCAAATTTTCGCATTCGTTTTGAACGAATGACCCAATTATCGGTATTTCTGTTCTACAAATCGCACATGACACCTCGTTGTGGCGAAATATTGAAATTTTAAATTCTATGTGTATCGCAACTTCACCGCACAAATATTCACATTAATCATAAAATCTAACGATCATGCATGTCGTGTGTCGTGTGTCGTGTGTCGTGCGGCGCGCGCGCGCGTGGGTGTGTGTGTGTGTGTGTGGGTGGTGTGTGCATAATGTGTACATATGACATACATATATGCTACGTTTGCGCGGCAAAATATACACGCAGTGACTCCGGATTGCCAGATTTTGGCGCCTTTTGCACTACACCACACTTGATGTAGAGTCCCTAGAAAAACAGAGGGTGTATTTCGAACTGAATTAGCTTAGCTTATTTTTTCCCCTAAATGTTGGCAGTTCCGTAACTAAACTGAGAAGTGTTCCGAACTCAACGGCCGTTATAACTCGTAATCTTTTTATACAAAAAATGGCCGAAAATTTGTCCAGGATTGACGGTCTTTAATAGTATCTCGTCGGTGGCTAAGCTAATCCGGTTCGGAATGTACCATTACATCCAGAGTCTGATCAGACAGAAACCTAAGAGGGGTTATGCCCGGAATTTAACTGTTTAATTTTATTTCGAAGCGCCATAAAATGTGAACATTGAACTACGTAGCCAATGTCCATGATTCGGTCGGTAATATCTACGATTTTTGCGTTGTATTCTTCGCTATGTCCACGAATTTCGTCAGATAGATTAAACTGTAAGTTGTCTTGTAACAATTAGATTTATTACAAGCGCCGACAGATTAAATTGTTCATCTTAGTCTATCTAACGGACCGAAATTCGTGGATATAGCGAAGAATACAACCAAAAAATCGAGGACATTACCAACTGGATCATGTACATTGGCTATGTAATTTATTGTCCACATTTTGTGGACATAGAGGCGCTTCGAAATAACGTAACAGCCAAATCCCGGATATAGTTGCTCTCTGGCTTCTCTCTACTAACATATCATTCGATCATATTTGGTTGCAATAACACAAAGATTATTTCTGAGTAGCCTTGGCTTATAATAATTTATAATTGATTTACAGTGAGAAATAATTTACAAAGTCTTCTGTACAACTAGATAATATGACATACACATTAAACACGTGTTTACATTACGTACAAAGATTAAAATAGATTTTCATTTAAGAAAATGAAAAATATACATGGTACATTGAAATTCATCCAATTGTATAATTTTTTCATGCAAGATAATTGTCTTTTGATTACGACGAATTATAGTTCGTCCATTTTTCTGTGAACTCTAATACTTTTATTCTTTGTTCCTCAAAACTTTGTCTTTTTGGTTTCCGCCAAAAGTTATGATCCAAATCCAACATTCCTCCTATTATTTCCTAAAAGATAAAAAAAAATTACATATAAACACATACACATGCGCGCTATTCATATCGTCATATATACATCAATTTATAATTATATTGAAAACTAAAGTTTTTTCAAGTGAATAATTTCAACAATCGTATCTCACCTTGGCAAAATTTTGCGGAAACATTTTTTCGTCTTCGATCACATGAGCATAGCCAGGATGTGAAGCAAATTCGACCATAAAGTAAGATAATCCATTTGGTATGGCATGACGTATACCTTTAAATGTTAAATCAATAATTTTTTTGTTCATGGACCATTCAGTTTCACACTCCAACAAAGCTTTCTGTACAAAAAAAAAATAGTTCAAATAATATGAAAATTGATTTAAAATACAGCCATATCTTTGTATTGTAACAAAATGATTTATTCACCTTAAAATATATTGGTGACAACTCGCCAATTTTTTTCGGCAGTGGAATACACTCTAATTGCATATGTGAAAATTTACTACGTATTTTATACACTTCAAAAAATATCGGATAAAAATCTTCATCCGTAAACATTTTTATTAATTTTCTTTTGAATTCCTGTAAAAAGAAAAGCATCATACAATTTCATGTTGTCACGTCAAAGATCAAGATGGACAGATTGGATATTAAATACAGTAAGAATTACCATCAATCTATCCCATATATCTTCATCTAATTGCAATTGACACGCCACATGCTGTATAGGTGTTAATATACAATGACCAGCACTCAAGGAAGTACAAGCAGGCAAGCTTAAGCAAATCACAGAGTCCATTGTAACGATCATATGCTTTAACATATTTTTCGAATCAAGGCACCACGAACAATTATCCATACATTTAGATAAATTTTTGTGTTCTTTAATTGCCTGTGTACGATCCCACTTGTCTTGTCTCGCTTCCGAATCTGTTCGTGCAATTTGTTGCTCAAATGTATCATCCATATGGTCGATATTCTGCAAAGGAAGATATTATTTTCAATTTCCACATTTGTATAATTTTCAATTCACTCGGTCAATTTACCTTGGAAGCGAGTTTAACGAAGACTGCTTCATCTTCCATTGTGGATCTTCCTTTCTCTCGTTGAAACTGCAATAGAAATTTATGTTATGTTGCGTTAAAACCTTTCGAGATTCCAATCATTTGGATAATTTACCATTTCTTGTAGAGAATATTTATCATCGTCTGCGAAATGACGTACTCTCTCACCAGAGATATGTGTCTCGGCAGTTTTCTTATTCCTGTAATTTTCCCATTTAGATTGATTTCTGGGTTGTATCGGTCTTGCAGTACCTAATACGTACATTTTTATGTGATTTCAATGTGGACAATTATTTATTTTCATTTATTTGAAACGAAAGATATGTACCTTTTGCATCGGTTTTTGTGAGAATTACATTCTCCTCTTGTACACTGGTTTTACATGATGTAATATGTTTTCTCGCGTGCTCCAACTGGATTTTTAGTTTTGCTGCTAATTCCTAAATAAATAAATCATTCCAAGTAAATTTAAGATGTAAATAAGTTAAAAATAAACAGTATTTAATAAAACAACAAGCATACATTATCACCCGTTAATTCAGCTTTTATAATACTTGCTCCTAATTTATTCATTTCCGCTTCAGTCAAAACACCAACGCCTTTATCTTTATCCATTCTATTTGTATTATTAATATTCCGTAAATCTACTTGTTTTGGCTCGGACACAGATAATTCGGTAATTGGATATCTCTTTTCATCACTCTTATCTTTTTTCCAATTTTTCATACGACTATTGGCAGGCATAGTCTGTTGATAATAAGTGTCGCTGTCTTTAGGTTTGCGATAGGTTTGCTTCAATACTGTGTGATGTTCCGACGAGTAGTCAGTATTATATTTTTCAGCACGATCCTTACTTCTAGATCTTGATTTAGACCTCAAACGCTTTCTTATTCTCGGACTGGAAATTCTATGAGAGTCTCTATCATTTTTATCATTGTAACATATTTTATGATACGATTTATTCTGTTGAGTTTTTGACATTTTTTCTGCTTCAACTATCATTGTTTGTATAATTTCTAGAGACTAAAAAAATTAATTTTATTTTTGTCATTAATAATCAATCTCGTATTTTGTACATGCACATACATGCACACGCGCGCGCGCGCGCGCTCGCACGCATGCACGCACGCACGCACACATATACGTATACAAATTGCTCTTTTAATTAACTTACACCCCAACGTTCGGCAGCTACTTCCTCTAAACGTTTATTGTCACGTAAAGCTTGTTCCTCGGCACGCCGAAGACTCTTTTTTAGCCAATTTACATCCAAAATCTTCGGCTTATCAGATCTACCTGGATTATTTTGAGGTAATCCATCGCCTCCAGCTTTCCAATATGGATTCAATTCTCTGTTACTTTGTCCCGGTTTACTTAGAAAAATCTCTTTATCTTTCTCTTTTAATTCTTGTAATTTCACATTAGGCTCTGATAAATATGGAATAAAACTTTCCACATTCATCCATTCATCCCTTTTGAGCTGATTTTCTTGGGCTCTATAATCAACAACTTGATCTTCAACCTTTCTCTCCACCCATTCAAATTTTGTGCTATCATCGCTTTTCTAAAAAAAATGTATGTTGTATAATTACATCCATATTACAAGTTTATGCAAATGTTAATAACTAAAAATTATAAAATCTTTAATATTCACACTGCTTGAAGATGAACATTTCCTCTTTTTCTTATGTTTTTTTTCTTTTTTCTTTTTAGACTTAAACTTTTTGCTTGATTTTCTATGGACAAATGAGTCAATATCTTCATTATTATATTTGAGTTTGTCAATTTTCTCCTGTCAAAAAAAGAAAAAGTACAATCGTCTAGAAAAAAAGATAATTATTTAGAATACCCTCCCCCACCCCCCTCGCCGCGCCATCTAAATTCTACTTATTCGATGCATTTTCACTCAAAACAAAAGAATCTGGCAAAGAAAACGCAGCGGTTGGCCTCATAAATTGAATTATTAAACGTTATGCTGATTCTATAATGAGTCGGTAGTCGGAAATCTTAAGTCTTAACCAGTTTTAACCTAAACAGGTGACTATGATTTTTTGCATCTACTAGTTGTTAATTGTATAGCGAATCGCTTAGCTCGATTAATAGGAAGGAAGTCGAATTTGATCAGTCTTAAGAAAATCGGTAGTCTTAGTGGTACAAATTGACTGTTGGCCAACTCCACCGATTCACCGATAAGACTAAGATTACCGATTCATCGTAGAATAGAGCTTTAAAGTTAGAGACTTTAGAGGACTTAAGAAATCTGATATCATTTCGACTCAATATAGCACTATGTATACATTCTGCTTTAATTACACAAATTCTCTGATTCACAAACACAAATTCGCTGCTAATGCAAAGAAATTGTAAGCTTAAAGCAAGCAGAGAATGTTCATTTGGAATATTTCCAACGCTGATTCTACAATGAATCGGTGATCGGTAGTTCTAAGTCTTATCAATGAAGTTGACCAATAGCCAACTTGTACGACTAAGACTGATTAGCCAACTTCACCGATTAAGACTAAGACTTTCGACTACCGACTCATGTGTAGAATCAGCAGAACCCATGAAGACAATGGGAAAAGAATGACTGGAATGGGAGAACAATTTTTTTAGAGCGGTCCTTTTACTGTCTAGGCTGCAACTTCTAGGCAGTTAGGTCCCAAGCGGGTAGGATTATTTTTTTTTGTTCGGGACGGCTAATATCAATCAATAAGCACTAGTCTATGCACCCCACTGTATATGACAGATTAATGAGCGCGTTACGTAATAACACTTTAGTCAACTTTAACGCTCAATATCTCGCTTCGCAGAGCAGTCCCGGACTTTTTTTCTGCCATTCTTTCATTTTACGCAAAAGTTTTTATCAAATGAGGCTAATTTAATCGAAATCGGAGGTAGCTCTTCTGAAAAAAATGAAAATTACCCTCATATTGTCTCTGTGACAGATTTCCTAACCTTAATAGTTATCAACTTTAACGCTTAATATTTCGAATCACAGGGCAGAGCGACGCTTTTTTTTGCCAGATTCTTTAATTTCATGCAAAAACGTATCGAATAAACCTAATTTTATTTTTGAGATGATTGTGCTAAACTGTATAATTACCTTCATCAAAATCGAATATTTTAAAAGCCCGTATTCCAAATAAACAATTTTCCGAAATTTATGAAAGAAAAAACACATTAATACTTCATATTTATAACGCATTTAACGCATACAAAATAAAATAAGAATTACCATAATGCTCGCCCGGCGTATGCTACAGTTTGAGAAATTTATCTTCTTCTTTTGCAAAAAGAGTAGAAATCTTCTAATGGCTGCGTTCAGTAGATTCTTCGGAACAGGGAACAGAGAACAAAGATGCATCCGGAAGCATGACCGTTCACTGAGCACTCAATGAGCACTCTTGCATCTGATTGGCATATTCCATTAGATCTAAAAATGTACACCAAATCATGCTTCTGGATGCACCTAATAAAAGGAATAGGGAATAGAGAACAAAGAATAAGAATCTATTAGAAATTATATATTCTGGAATACACAGTTTCTGATAGGTTGAAATTCTCATTCTCTATTCTTTGCTTCTTTTATTGTGCGGGCCCCTAAGAATTTCAATCAAGAATCAGAAATCATGTATTGTGGAAAACACAGTTTCTGATAGGTTGAAATTCTTATTCTCTGTTCCCTGTTTCTTTTATTGTGCGGAGCCTCTTAGGACTAATAGAAGTCTGTGGCTAAGACACAGAGACGTTACACTGGCTTAGTTTCCATCGAGGGTTTAAATCGGATCAGAATGTAAGAACCAACCAACTACAGTCGAGTATTTCCCTGTTACAGTCGAACGACAGGGGAATGCTGCCCGTTTTACACTGTGTCACCTGTGTACGTTGTTGGAAAACTCTAAGATTTCAACCTATCAGTTATATCGGAATACATGGCTCTTGATAGATTGAAATTTTAATATTTATTCCTATTCCTTTGAAAGTGGCGCCTGATTATTTTCAATTCACAAAGGATTATTATATGAGCAATATTTTCGAGATTCCTCACCGAAGACTTGGTATGCCAAACTCCCTTTGGAAAGGAAGGAAATAATTCAACCGCATCAGATGCGGATCTAATCATTATAATCTGAATGCAAATCTGTTTCGCAAGAATATGGTCAGCGCGGAGGCTTGTTCTTGCGGGGACCCCCGCCAAAATATCAACCATGTAATTTTTTACTGCCCTACCATTTCTCCTAAGTCAGCCAAACTCACTTCATTTATTGATAAAACTTTCCCGAACACTTCTAGAGATATCTTTCCCTTATTAAAGAAAACCTTCTGTCAAAATGTACCGCCTTCTACTGGCTTTCTTCAAAACCACCAACCTCCGCATTTGAACTACTCCCGCCAGGCCTGTATCTCGCGGGCGCTCTCGGAGTTTCGGAGAAGGGTAATAAAACAGTGATACCAACATAGTACTTCCATGTTACTCACGTTCTCGCTACTCGCCACTTGGGGCGGCTATCTTGTTACTGGCTGTATCGACTCCGTGGAGTCGGGTTCACTAGCGAAGAATTAAATAGAGGGACGAAAAGGTGTTTGTGTCGGCAATAGAAATTAAATCAACGATGAACGATACTTTAGAATTGGATTATGCTGAAATGCTTCGTTATATAGGTTTAGTCGTATCGGACGGTAAGCGTCTTAAATTTTTACGTATGCGTTTATGTTACGTGTGTATTTATATTCGCGTTGAATCGTCAACGAAAACTCTGACCAACAAGTTTCACGTGTCTGTCCTTTCGCTCTAGATTGCTTAAGTTCGGAAATGATAGACGGCGTACCGATACGAAAATTATTCATCAGCAATTTGGCTGAAAGGGTTTGTTTCTCTCAATTTTTAAGCCAAATTTATTATGTATTCTTTGCTTCCTGTTTCTTTTTCTTACCTCGTGCCTTTTTCCTTCGCGTTCGACCGTTTTATCAGCAATCACGTTATTTTTCACATGTTATGTCTTGTCTCTTTCAAAGTTTGTCAATTTCCATCTCGGGTGACAGAAAGCGAAAAAAGTGGGTAAGATGCAAAAAGGCAAGAAATAAAAAGCGATAAAAAGCAATAGGAAACAAAGAGCATATTGTAGATTATTACAATTAATGCAGTTAAGCATCTTAACATTTTAACAACCCGCTAATACAATTGTACTGTATTTGTTTGATTTGTTTGACAAATTTTATTCCAGACAACTTTCAAGGATTTACGTGATTACTTTTCTATGTATGGAAATGTTGAGAGTTGCTATTTACGTAGAAATCATGGGAAAAGCAACTATGCGTTCGTCACGTTTACCAAAGTGGCAGATGCAATAACGTAAGTTTCAAGGAGCAAAGGAGTTTACTAGCAAATTACTGTTACAAACAATGGTGGTTTGTAACCAATTGTTTGTAGAGCGATGCAAGATGGAAGTAGGAAACGAATAAGATTGCATAATAGAGATTTAAGAGTGATGGCTGCAGATTCTTGGCATCAACCTGACAGTATGGAACAGAGATTGTATAATGTAGGGAAAGAGTTGAACAAAATTTCTGAAAGAAAGGAACAATATGTTCATAAGTATTTGCAAAATGATACCGAAAATGTATCCATCCATATGCTGAATGACGATTGCTTAAGACATATCTTCCTATTTTTGCCAATAGTAGACAGAGTTCGTATAGAAATAGGTGAGTTTAAGCATAAGCATTTTAAAGATTTTATATTTCTGTGAGACAGATTGTATTTGTTTATTTCTCTGTACTAGGAGAGGACCTTTTGTATATATTGTTTCATCATTATATTTACAGTTTGCAAACGCTGGCGAGATTTAAGCCAAGATTCATGGCATATGATAAAAACATTGGATCTCTCACCTTCTACATGGGGTTTCTCGCACACCCATATGATTCATACAGCTTTACTTCGTAAAATATTGCTGAAATGTGGTAGATTCTTAACGCGAATAGATCTAGATGAGCCACTTCATTATTTAAGTCAAAGCACATTGACTATTATTGGAAAATTTTGTCCTAATCTTACGTGTATCAATATTACCGCGTTAACAGTTTGTGCATCAGGTATACGTACATTAGCAAATAACTGTAGAAACATAATCAAGTTTTGTTTAGGACCGTCCACCTACAGTTGTGATAATGAATTGAAGTATCTCTTTAAGCTAAACCAAAACTTGGAGTGTCTTGTGATAACCAGAAATAATATTTTGGGTAAATCCTTATTATGTTTACCAGAGCAAACTATGCATACAATTATATTAGACCGCTGCGACTATCTTCAGGACAATCATCTTTCAATGGTAAATTAATTCTTTTTTGCTAATTAATCACAATAAGATACACGTGATCAGAGAATGGAAAGTTACTTTTCAAAAGTAACAAGTTATCGTTAGTGATTTTTAAAAGTAGCTTGTTACAGTTACCATTACTTAAAACGTAACTATTCGTTACTTTTTTTTTTTAAATCAGTTTAAAAATAAGTACTAAAATACAACTAGACTAAAAAATGTACTTTGTAATATTTGTTATTCAAATATTGATAAAAGCAATATAAAACAATGGTATTAGCTTTATTTTTTAGTTTTCTTTTTTTTTTTTAATAATTTCATAAATCTGAAATATCTAGAATTATAAAATCATTATGCTTTTCAAGGAATAAAAGTGAAGCTTTACGTAGCAAGTCATTTATCATCACGAGAGAGTCAAGTCTTAATATTTGAATGAATATACAATATGTATCTGCAATTCTGCAATCTATACACCAATTAAATTTTCAATCTTGAAACGCTGTTCGGCTGATATTTTTCACAATAAATTTTTCATAGTACTTTAAGATGCTTATCAACTTAGATATATCATTAAATTACTTGTAAATTTAATTTGTCATATTACTACATTCCAATTTTATTTAGGATTGCGTTTTAAGATAGAAAATTTAATTAGCGAACAATTTGCAATATTTGATATACATACAGATTTAATATAACATATTATACACAGAAATCAAGTTCGAATGAAAAAATTCTTTCTCTTTTAAAAAACAATAAGTTATCTTAAATTTAATAATAAATGAACTAATCACAGAGGCACATTAACATTTTAAGACATTAAAACGGTCTTGAAATTAGAACAAATTATGAACACTATATCTAAAGATTAAAGATTAAGTAAACGAAAATTATGTCGTCAAATATATTAGGTTCAAAATACAAAAAATATATAACTGTAAAATTCATTACCATTACATTTACAATTACCAAAAAAGAACAGTAACGTAGTTATCAATAAGCTATCAAAAAAAAGTAAGTTATAACTATAACTTTGTTACAAGTAACGAGTTACTTCCATTCCCTGCATGTGTTACAGTTAATTCAGTACTGCAACTGTTCACACGCGTGCATGCGGACCAAATATGACAAACATATGCCTTGATATATGAGCTGACTAGTTCTCTAAGCGACCAGTGAACGGTTATAGTACTGAGTCAGCACCCAATTGACATCATCATGTGCAGGCTCTGAGGAAACTTGAAAATTTGACACATCTTGCAATAAACGAATGTGTCGGCATAGCTAAACATACGTTGGAAATTATCAGTCAACATTGTAAAAATCTTAGAATATTGGAGCTTAATGGAAACTTTCCCTCCGCACAAACAGCGGACATGTTATATTTAGTCCACCTTGTCAATCTGCACGATTTAAAAATCACGTATAATCCTAAAGTATCGGACGATTTCCTTACTGATTTAGTACAACATTGTCAACAGCTTACTAACGTAGACATTACAGGTAAATTGCAATCATAATACATTGCATGCGTGCGTGTGTGTGCGCGCGCGCGCGCGTGTGTACGTGTGTACTTTTTTTATATTTATCATTTTTCAATTATATTTTACATATCCAACAGGTTGCTGTAACGTGAGCGATACCGGATTAGCAGCTATTGCTACGTTAGTAAGGCTAGAAAAATTGGTTGTCAGTTATATACATCAAGTTACTGACGAAGGTTTAAAAAATATGTGTGGCTTGAAAGAATTGGAATGTCGAAGATGTCCATTTAGCGATCGAGGCATAACAATGCTCATAAAATCCTCGCCCCAGTTAAAATTGTTAGATCTCTCCGGATGTAGATATATCAAGGACTCCACCCTCGAGGTTGCTAAAGATGCTTGTAGCAGTCGAACTAATAATGTAATGTTGAAGATGATAATTGGGGGAACAGCAATTTTCGACCTCTTTGGTTTAGAGAGACTACCTCCGCTATTGCATATAGTTAATGTTGATTTGTCTGATCTTAGCAGTGTGTCTACTATGTATCTCGTAGACGATTTGGAATCTTGGCACGATGAAGATTCAGATTATACGGAATATTCCGATTATACAGAATATTCCGATTAGACGGAATATTCAGAAAATGATTATAGTGAATATGGTCATCTCTGACGAATTAGGTCATTAGTTGTATATCGATTCGGATTCTTAAGAATATCTGTATCTCTCAATTTTTCATAATTATAACCGATTTTTTCTACAATGGATTGCTATCTGGATCAGAATCTTACCATCGTATTGGCTGCAATGTTGACAATGCATTGCAATCAGTACAATGTCAAGAATGTAATCCAACAGTGAAACAAGCATCATGTCTCACCGGCTTTAGCGTTTATCATTGAGATTTTTAATGCCTATTTTATAATTGCGTAAGCATTGTTATAAGTGGTTGTAATTGTAAAAATTGACGAATCACGATCACATATTCTTTTCATATTTGACTGTGATTAATTAATTCTTATAACTATAACTATACTTGCAATTATGTTTACGGCTATTGTAGAACATAATGCTTGTTTCATAATAACCGTAAGCGCAGTTGTAAAAGTTGACCAATCACAGTCCTCCTCATATTTGACTTGATTGGTCAATTCTTGCAACTACAGCCATCTACAACTATATTTACGACTATTGTAGAATAGGCTTAATGCCTGTTTTACACTAGTCGTAAGCGTAGCTGTAAGTGATTGTAATTGTAAGAATTGATTAATCGCAGTCGAATATTTTCCTCACATTCGACTTGATTGATCAGTTCTTTTACAACCACTTACAACTATACTTACTATTGTAGAATAGACATAAGATTTTGTATATCTTGTTACTAATAATGATTAACTTTACATATACTTATTCCCATGAATATATAACGCTACAACCAAATTTATGAATATACCTATGATATGCACACACACACACACACACACACACACTCTCTCTCTCTTAAAATTTCATTATATTACGATAATAAAGTGCAATAATATTCACACACACACACACACACACACACACTCTCTCTCTCTCTCTCTCTCTCTCTCTTAAAATTTCATTATATATATTACGATAATAAAGTGCAATAATATTCACACACACACACACACACTGCGCGCGCGCATAATGTACATATATTATACTAAGTTTGTTATATTACGCGATAATACAGTGCAATAAAATAAAGTTCAGCAAACGTAAATTTTATCTACTATAAATTAATACCATTATACATACCTGCATATCTGACTTTTCCTAGGGAACATTTTACTCTCCTCACTCTCAATATCATTATTATATATAGTTGTGCACTTGGGTTTTCAGATACCGAATATTGAATTACAACATCGATGATTTTATTGTATTTATAATTAATAACGTTTAGACAATGAATCAATACAACTGCAATTATTATGCACATATGTATATGCAACAAGGAATGTGCACATATTTTAATAAGTGCTAGGAATTACGAACTTTGCGCAAAATTATGAATCATCGCTTGATAAAATTGCTAAATTATATTGGCATTTCCATACACTTTACGATACGATCTTTTCATAGATAATTTTTAATCGTGTATATTGTCTTCCTCTATGGTAGATAATAGAAACCATTTACAACAATATATGCATTATATGCCTTTTATATATATATATATATATATATATATATATATATATATATATATTATATCCTTATTATTATATATTATTGTATTAATCGCGATATAAACGTAACATGATTTTAATTCTTGAGCGTCTTACGCTCTTGCCGATACACATACACACATGGAGAAGTATCTCACGGCACACAAGTATTACAATATAATACTCGTAATACTTTATCCGGTGATTTTTTTATCCAACTCTGAGACAGTTATTATATGTAATATAAGACTAACTTGTAGATTATATCTACAAAATATAATATTCTGCACAAGACATTTCAACGAATGACAAATCTGTCATAATGGGTGCGTTCCGTTTCATGCATGATGTGCATGATGTCTCATTTTATATTTTTTTAATATTCAATGAAGAACAAGGTCGATAAAATGATATATCATGAGCACCATGCGTGAAACGGAATGCACCTAATATTATGATTTAGCATATTCACAATCTATTCGTGTTTCCTCACAATGATCCTATTGCACTGTTTATCTACTAGTATACATTCTCTGTGTGAAATAGTCCAGTCCGTCAACTTTTATATCAATATTAATAAAACAGTTAAATAAGCATTGCATAATTGAATGTTTGTTTAAATTGCGGAAAATTACAGCAATTCACATATAATGACGCATACAAAATGATAATAAAACAATATTGAAATGAAGAGAAATTCAATTATCATTTTAATTGAATTTTTCAAATATTCATAAATTTCAAGTTGGCCATTAATAACTTGCCATAAGATATTTTTCATAAAAATTGCACAATAACATTTGACATGCAATTGGTCGTACAAAAGATCAATCTTTCTGTTGCGGTTGGATTATGTATACCTATGTGTATGCATGCATGCACGCACACACACATTTGGATGAATTGTCGATGGATAATAGCAATGAAAAAAAACAGACATATACATATGTATACATATGTTTTTCATTTTTATTATTCATTAACAAATAATAATGTGAGATACTTCACTCTACTACTATCATGCATTTTATATTTTTAAATTAATGTGAAATACCGACAATAAATCCAGTCTTTATCGCACATTTAGCACTAGGAAGGAATCGAGAATATCACTCACTGTATGCACATATATTTTGCAGCGAAAGAATTCATAACGTAATATTCTAAATCCTATCGAGTATATAAATAGCTCAAACCATGTTATGAATATTTCATTATTCGTAATGTAAATTACAATTATGTGAAAAATGAGACAAGTTTTTTTTTACTTTGTATGTTCGCCATTGAAGGATTGATTATGCGATGATAGAGTTGGTCTTTTACATCTTAAATGTACATAATAGTCTATTAAATGTAAGTTTATACATTAATGTTAATAAATTCGCAAGACTTTTTATAATCGAAAGCGAATTAATTTTAAAGACTTGAATTATATTATCAAAATATTCTCTCTAAATTGCCTTTTTTGAAAATGATTACTATTACTATACTATAAGTGTAAAAAGCGCGTTTTGTGTTTCTATGGCTGTGTGTGTGTGTGTGTGTGTGTGTGTGTGTGACGCGCGCGCGCGCGCGTGCAATTAAAATTAAAGACATGTGTTAATTCGTACGTTTTAACGCGCATGATTGAAAATAATACGGCAACCGTGTATTTAATCAAAGTTATGCATTGGTACAAAAACAATGATTTAACATGATTAAAGATGAAATTTTTGATCGTGTAAATAACATTTCTATGGATGTCAGGTACAAATCTTATACAAGTAATTCTCGATCTAATTAATTTTCTCAAACGACATTCGTAGGTTTAATGCTCATTCGCGCATCCTAATATCATATCACGGGGAACACAATTTGCCCATGAGAATCTAATAATAAAATTATATTGCAATTTGTCATCTTACATACTTTTAACAGAAGCATAAGACGAACACGTAAAGTGAATCTTACGAATGAAATTAATATTTGGCACAGTGGCGTGCTGCGTGTAAATTATTTGGACAAGCAAAGTCCGAGCGAAACACGACGTATCCGGTCCGCAAGATAAGTGTTTCATATTCACCTATATATCACGGTGATACTTGACGATTTATTACACGTATTACAATAATAGTTGTTTCTCCCCGTAAAAACCAAAAAAATGACAAAGATACATAACAATGGGGTCAATCGAATTCCTTATGATCGCTTTCATAAGTAAAATCTGTCATTTGCGTAACGCTCAACAGTCAACAGTGATACGATGTTCATTTGATACGATCAACAGACTTGGCACACCTACTAAAAATGTAGATGTATTAATTTTAAACTATATAAAAATTCTATATAGGCTCTAATGAATTAAATCAATAAGGATTAAAAAACCTTTGAGAGCCAATGCTGGATGTTATTGCAATTACAGTTTTATTGTACGTATATAATAATTGAAATAGACGTTTTGATCCTTGGTTTGAATCCTCTTCAGTAAATATAACATTAATGATAAGAATATTTGTTCGTCGTAATTTGAACTGTGAATAATGTGTATCTGGATAAGTCAATTCGCATCCATATGTCAATGTCCATTAAATTACCAAGTTTAATGGCTGTTTTGAGTATTGGCATATCATGCGATGTTGAAAACTCGCTTGTCATGGCTATAAATCTGGATTTAGATGCATGAGTGAGTTGTCGAAACGTCTATTTCAATTATTGTATACATACAATAAAATATAATTGCAATAACATTCAGCATTGGCTCTCAAAGGTTTCTTATTCCTAATTGTACTAATTTTGTAAAAAAAGATATTGCTAGGGGAGGGATATAACAAGAGAGATATATACGCCACTGTTTGGTCGAATAAAAACCTAGACGAACCAAGGCGTAACTTAGGAGTACTGAACGCGAATATACGTAGTCAAGTATGTAAGAGTTACATTTATTCAGGATTGCACGGTCGATAAGTGCGTTGGCGTAGACGGCTCTAGGTCCATAGTACGACATACCCATCCAGCGAGATCCACGTTTTCCGATTCAGCTTTCCTTATCCATTCGTGATTCTGAAACACACCATCGGAAAATAATTAATAAATAATAAAATAATAATTTTTCAGTTTCCCTTTCTGTTCAAACCATCAATGTTTATTTGCGAGTGAAACATACCGTTAACGTTTTCAAATCTGCTCTATCATTCGGGTTTCTTTTTAAACACCGATCAATAAAATCTATGAAAGCGTTGCTGAATAATCCGGATGGCAGTCTTGGTGGTGGTTCGTTGACTATCAATTCCAACAGCTCGAATACCGCTAATGGCTTGGGAGTGTGCGCGCCTATGATAATAAGGAATCAAATCGATTGATATTTAAGAACAAAACTTTTCTTCATGAAGAAGATATGCAAGAATGCGAATAAACGAATGAATGCTCATGCAAGTACTGACAACGTCTCGTCGGTGGTCGTGGAGGCGGCGTGGAGGATTCGCTGACTGTTGCCGGATTCTCCCCAGCGTGTTGTATCCATTCCGAACCAAATATAGAAGCTAAAAGCCTATCATCCGGCGGTGGAATAGGATACATCCCAATCGCCATTTCCACGAGTGACACACCGAGCGACCAAATGTCGCTTTGCACCGAATAATGTGATCCTTGGAGTCTTTCTGGCTGAAAACGCTCGATATAAGACACGCTCGGAACATAACACGCGTAAAGTATCACGAGCGCATAATCCACGCCAAACTTACCGACATATAACTTCGTGTGCCGACGAACGAATGAGCCATCGAATCGATCAGTTGTCCAGAAACGCCAAAATCGCAGAGCTTGATTTCACCCGCGCTGTTCACCAAGATGTTGCTTGGTTTTACATCCCGGTGCATTATGGCGTGTTTATCTCGTAAATAAGTTAAACCTTTCAGAACCTATAAAGGAGAAACAAAAGTTTGCAATGACATATATTACCATAAACAAACGAAGTACATGAAGCGACAAAAAAGAGAGGAAGAGAGGTATGTTTTTCTTTTTTTGTGTCAATTGTGTTAAAACGATTTAAAAAGTTTCGATATTAAAAATGTATGTCCCGTTAAAAAGTGCAGGGCAGTTTGAAGAGGCAACAAATCATCATTATGCAGCAGCCGACTCGCATGTCTTCCATCTCTCAAACTCGCGTGTCCACCATACAAAAGAAGAAGCTGACCGAGGAGGAGATACAAGAACTGCATCAGGAATTGGAGACCGTCGATCACGTGATAGAATTGGAGATTCTGTACGAGAGGCTGGGCACGAACGCGGAAACGGGCCTGACGAAGGAGCAGGCGTGTGCAATCATGGAACGAGATGGACCAAACGCCTTGACACCGCCCAAGGTTACGCCAGAATACATCAAATTCTTTAAATGCATGTTCCATGGATTCGCGGCGTTGCTCTGGGTCTGCGCGACTCTATGTTTCATCTTGTACGCAGTCACTTATTTCGTGGAGGAGGAGGACGTCGGTATCGCATGGCTAGGAATAATCATCGTTATGATATGCATCATCTCGGGGGTGTTTGCGTACATACAGGAGAGCAAGAATATTAAAGTGATGGAGTCCTTCAAAAAGATGGTGCCCACTTTTGCTACTGTGATACGCGACGGGCAAAAACTGCGTCTAGGTACAGAGGAGCTGGTCTTGGGCGACCTAGTGGAGATACGCATGGGCGACAAGATACCAGCCGACATCAGAATAATCGAGTGCCGTGGGCTCAGAGTCGAGAACTCGAGCATAACTGGCGAGAGTGAGCCGGTGGCGCGCACTGATTATCCGACCGACAAAAATCCTCTCGAGTCCTCCAACGTAGCCTTTTCCACGTCATTCGCTGTCGCGGGTGACGGCAAAGGGATCGTGATCGCCACGGGTGATCATACTATGATAGGCCGTCTGGCTGGTCTCACGTCGCATCTTGTCAAAACCGAGACGCCAATCGCCAAGGAGATTAGGCATTTCGTCGAGATTATCACTATTGTGGCTGTTCTATGCGGCCTGGCGTTCTTCGCTCTGTCACTGCTGGTCGAGCCAAGTCTCGTACGAGCATTTACCTATCTACTCGGCATAGTTATCGCCAACGTACCCGAGGTACTGCTAGTGACCGTGACGACAGTTTTGACACTGACCGCTCAGAAAATGGCGAGCAAGAACTGCTTGGTGAAGAACTTGGAGGCGGTCGAGACTCTAGGCTCGACATCGGCGATCTGTTCCGACAAGACGGGCACGCTCACGCAGAACAAGATGTCCGTGTCTAATTTGTGGTTCGGCCACACCAGATATAACTTTCCACCGGGCGAGAGAATCGGCGTCGAGAGGGATTTGCTGTTAGAGAAGCCAGGTTTCAACGAGATGCTACGAGCTGCCACCCTCTGTTTGCGTGCCGAATTCACCGCCGAGTCCTTCATGCTGGCACCGATCGAGGAGCGCGAGATTATCGGTGACGCATCTGAGACCGGTATCCTCAAGTTCTGCGAGCACATTCATCCTACGCAGAGGTATCGCGAGGCGCATCCGAAAGTTGCCGAGATCCCTTTCAGCTCCGTGACCAAGTATCAAATGTCGATACACCGAGACATCGATGGTTATACCATGATATATAAAGGGGCACCAGAGGTGATTATGGAAAATTGTACAACGATACTGACGGCCGCCGGGGAAACGAAAGAAATGACCGCCAGCGATCACGCGATATCTCGCCGTGCCTGCACCGAACTGGGTTACCTTGGTGAGCGAGTTCTAGCGTACTGCGATCTGCATCTGCCCGCCAGTGTTTACGGGCCAGATTACAAATTCAACACCGATTCGCCCGTGTCCTACAACTTTCCCGGCAAGGGATACAGATTCGTGGGGCTGATAAGTCTGCAGGATCCCCCGAGGCCTGGCGTGCCCGAGGCGGTACAAAAGTGCCGTACCGCCGGTATAAAGGTGATCATGGTGACGGGTGATCATCCGGTGACGGCGATGGCAATTGCCAAGAAGGTGGGTATCATAAGCGAAGGCCACGAAACTCGTTACGAACGAGCGATTCTGCAGGGCAAGTCTTACACGCAAGTGACCGATTGCGTCGATGCCAGTGCGATCGTGATGACCGGTGCCGAGTTGAGGAACTTGGATGCGAGCGAGTTAGACAACGTTATACGCCGTTACGAGGAAATCGTATTCGCGAGGACGTCACCGCAGCAAAAGCTGTTGATTGTCGAGAGTTGCCAACGGCTGGGAGAGATCGTCGCGGTCACCGGCGACGGTGTCAACGATTCGCCGGCATTGCGGAAAGCCGACATAGGAGTAGCGATGGGGATCGCGGGCTCGGACGTTGCCAAGAACGCTGCGGATATGATACTCATGGACGATAACTTTGCGTCGATCGTGACCGGCGTCGAGGAGGGCCGGCTGATATTCGACAATTTGAAGAAGTCGATTGCGTACACGTTAACGTCAAGCGTGCCGGAGATGTTGCCCATGTTGAGCGGGCTAATATTCGCGATTCCTCTACCGTTGGTTATTGAACTGGTCATTTGTATAGACGTCGGCACTGACGTCGTCCCTGCGATTGCTCTGGCCTACGAGAAGGCAGAGTCGGATATAATGCGCCGGGCACCGAGAAACCCTCAGTACGACAAGCTGGTGAACAAGCGTTTGATATCCATTACCTACGGCCAGATAGGAATGACGCAGGCGTTCGCTGGATTTTACACTTACTTCATGGTGCTCATGATGAACGGCTTTATGCCCAATCGTTTGTTGGGTTTACGAATAGAATGGGAGAACCCATCCATAAATGATCTACAAGATTCCTGGGGCCAAACGTGGACCTACAAAAACAGAATGAATCTCTTGATGGAGGCGCAAAGCGGATATTTTCTTTCCATTGTCATAACGCAAATGGTAGATCTGGTCATGTGTAAGACCAGGCGCAATTCCATCTTTCAACAAGGAATGAGCAACTGGTTTGTCAATTTTTCCTTCGTTTTCGAAATTATTCTGACAGGGCTCTTGCTCTATGTCCCAGGCACGGAATACGTACTGAAGACTATGCCACTGATGGCTTACTGGTACTGGCCTTGTTTGCCGCTCGGTGCATTTCTTTGGATCTACGACGAATTGAGACGTTTATGTATTCGTATCTTCCCGAGTGGAATTATGGAAAGAGAAACATACTATTGACATCATTTTTTCTTCCACAGAGAGAGGATGGTTAGAAGAAAGTGCGCAGAAAACCATCTACCAACCCACACAATAGATGTGTTTAAAATACATCTATTGTGTGGGTTGGTAGATGGTTCATAGAGATATATTTTGGGTATGCGATATCTTTAGGTGATATCTTCCTAATAAGTATTTCGAACATTTCTGCTCTATGGATAGTAACTTGTATTACTCGTAACGATTCGTTACAGATCTCTCTCTCTCTCTCTCTCTCTGGATATCTCACGTTTCAGGGTTATTATGCCTCATCAGTCGATTAGAGATAATATATATATAAGTTATATTTATTATTACAATTTATTTTTTTATTAATTGGAAAAAAGCAATTGTTATCGCGATAGAATTTATCCTAACTGAGATCTCGTTTTTTCTCTTTTCCTCTTTATTTATATCAATAATAAAAGACTGACTTACAGCACATGTGATTGTACTTATCATGGATTCTGGAATTCGTCCCGCTTTTTTCATTATTAGGTCTAACGATCCACCATCCATATATTCCATACATATACAAATTTCTCCCCCACTGAAAGAGAGTATACATATATAATAGCCACACTGTAGCAGTTTTGGCACTGTATGCAGAGCACGTACACATATATACAGGGTGTTCAGTGTAACGCATGACTTTTCAGACACTTATGACAGTTAAAAAAAAGTTGAAAGGTGAATATTCATCTGTTTTATACAGGCTACAACATGCGACCAAAAAAATTGAAATAAAATTTTTTCATAAAAAAATCAGTCATTTAAAATTTTTTAAATAGCATCATACCATTTTTTTATTCTATAATATTACATGGATCTTCAAGACGAATTCAAATCACTATCGAAATGTCACTTTTATTGATGTTTTATTGATTCTATTGTATATTTTATTAATCTTTGAGTAGGTGAATTTTTAGGTATTTACAGCATCCCATGTTTGACACTTCATTATTGTTATATCGTTAAATTATATCGACAAACTGCTACCATTTCAATCTGTCAAGTATTCAATAAAAAAGATACTAAATCGATGAACTCTGTTGCCAATCTAAAAGTATGAAATATTTAAGAAAAACTGCCTGGGGTGTTTAGACAATCCATATATCTACTTGAAGGTAAAATAAATACATACATACATATATATATGTATGTATGTATGTATGTATGTGTTCGAAGGTCGTAAGTATTGCTGTTATAAATAATGCTATAAATTTGATATAAACTATCAATAAAACATCAATAAAAGTGACATTTTGGTAGTGAATTTGAATTCGTCTTGAAGATCCCTATAATATGGAAAAAAAATCAATATTTCGTTAACCATTGCGAAAATTGCAAAATGGCAGATGACATTTCGACACAGTTTAATCCACCCTATCTATATAAGAGCGCTTTGCGGGGGCGCGCGCGATATTATATATGCATGTAAGCACATGTATCTCAAGGAACAATCCTCTTAAAATTTCTGAAAAGTTTACCTGCAAAAAGCGCCATAAAATCCAACTATATGTGCAAAGTTACATTCATGAAGGACTTTTAATTCTCTAATTATTTGCTTCTTGATAGGTGGCTTCACTTCCAAGCGTATTTGCTGAAAAATTTGGGACAAAAATACCAATGAGTATAGAATACACATTCTAAATGCCTATCAATACATATATAATGATTAAGTATACGATCATTTACCTTCATTGCCATTATAAGACCATATTTTTTATGTTTGACTTTTGTAACAACGCCACCATTACCCGAACCTAATTCACCTAACTTTTCAAAATCCTCGCCGCATAGTTCTCCAACTTTTTCTTTTTGTCCCAGAAAACTCTCTAGTCGTTTCTTTTGTTCCTCGTCCATTTCTAGATCTTCTAATCTTGCTTGAAGAGTATCAATATTCAATGTGTCCCTCATGCCGCTGCGAAAAATGTAGTATCAGAATTATACGATGACAAACTTCCAGATAATAATTTCAAAATGACAGAAATCTTCCAAATTACTCAAATTAGCTTATAAGATTAGTTTATGAAAATTTCGCAATTATTTCAATTAATCAGAAATGAATTAAGGTTGAGATCTTCAAGTCATAGATATTTTACAGCATAGAGTTCATAGAGCTTGTTTAAAATACCTCGTATAAAGTTGATTCTATAATGAGGCAATAATTGCTAGTTTTAAGTCTTATGCTGATTCTACAATGAGTCGGTAGTAGGAAATCTTAAGTTTTAATCTAACTACGATTTTTCGCAACTACTAGTTGTGAGTTGTACAGCGAATCGTCTAGCTCGCCTAATGGGAAGAAATAAAGTCGAAATTGGTCAGTCTTAAGCAAATTAGTAGTCTTAGTCATACAAGTTGGCTGTTGGCAAGCTTCATCGATTCACCTATATAAGACTTAGGATTGCTACCACCTAACTCATTGTAGAATTAGCTTTATCAGTGAATCGGTGAATAGCCAACTTGTACGACTAATGCCTGTTTCCATCAATGTAGATTAACTTTAATCTCGGTTCTACTTATTCTTTGTCTTATTCTAGTTGTAAAGATTAGGAAAAGATGGAGAGTAAGTTGAACTGAGGTTAAAGTTAATCTACATTGGTGGAGATGGACATAAGACCACCGATTTTTTTAAAACTGACCAAATTCAAATTTATTCTTTCCTATTAGTCGAGCTAAACGATTCGCTGTACAATTAACAAATTGTAGACGTAAATAGTCAACTATTTAGATCGACACTTAAAATTTCCAACTACCGATTCAATGTAGATTCATAAGTGTTCAACATACGTAATTTTTATATCAGAGTTCTGTAGTGAGATAGGAACATTGTACTATTAATATATATAATATAATGCATTGGCTACGTTCAGCAGAAAAAACTAATCAGTTAGCGCTTAGTGATTTTTTAATATTGGTTCTTGCCTTTAATTTTTCATTGGATGTAAAAATCAATTATATTGAAGAATCACTAAGTACTGACTGATTAATTTTCTCTGCTGAATGCAGCCATTGTAAATTGTTAATATACATGTATATATAAACAGCTTACAATATATTGCATTACATATATATTAAGAGTCTATAATGTGTGTAAAACACACGCACGCATGCCTCCCCCCCAACACACATACACACATTCACCCACACATGTTATTATATGAAAATAATATTACATAAAAATAATAAAACATCCTTGTTTCTGGACTTACTCAGGCATTTCCGGAGGTTCCGGATACGCAGGCGGAACCGGCGGTGAAGGAGATGCTTCTGGTACCGGTTCTATTGAGCCAGGTGGTAATGTTAAGTTGAGTTTATTCTTTGACATTTGGTGGTTGGCCGTTTAAAAGTATTTTGAAGAATGAACACTACACTACGTGAGATTATCACTTAACACAGATGCGAACTTGCGGATCATGTAAGATTAATCTGTCTCATCTATCTTATTTTTTTTTTAAGGGAATAACGCAAGATCTATGAGACAACAAAAAAATTTACCGTGTCCGTCAATTTTTCGCAATTTTCGCGCCAATCACAACATTCGCGCGAATCTCGCAGTTGTATTCATCGTTCGTTCTCTTCGCGTGCATTCACAAACGGAACGTTCGTTCGACACTTAGTACACGTCGCTAATAAGAACAAACTACCAAATCACAAATCTATAAATCTCTTCGTTATTTAAAGTTTTCATTATTCAGTAAGAGATAGATACGTTTTTATCACGCGTCAGGTTTTGGTAATCATCGAATAGATGTTAACAACGATATACGTCGCTAACCTAAGCGATAGGGGTGTGGAACACTAGCGAAAAACGAAGAAAAGAGGTTATGCGAAACTTCGCGGGAACCGCAAAAGCGAACATATCTAGTACTACCACCTAATGTTCACTAAGCACTCTGAGCAGATCAACAGCAATCGAACGGGATTGGTTCTTACTTATTGATTTACCCGATTTGGAAAAACAGGAAAACAGTCACATAACCTATCACTTGCTACTACGCGGTAGCCAATCAATTCATCGCTTTTTATGTAGGATCAGGTCTGTTAGTTCGGATCTACAATAGGTGTTTTAAGCCTTAAAGGTGCCTTTCCATGTCGACGCTTATTTTCGGCGACAAAATAGGTCACGCGATAAAAATCGAGATAATACTCAAGAATTAAGTCCTGTTTGCCGATTTTGGTGAAATTATTAAGGCTTATTCGATGCGTTTGTAAGAAAGATTCTGGCAAAAAAAAAAACACGTAACTCTGTGAGCCGAGATATTAAGCGTTAAAGTCGATAACTATTGAGGTTAGGAAATCTGTCATAGAGACAAAATGAGATCTGTAATTGTATTGCTTCATGGGTTTCGACTTTCTACACGAAGCAACTCCATCTTCCACGCCCCCTCCCCATCCCCCTCTCAAATGGGCGCACTTTTACAATTGTGCTACTGTTGTTGTTGAGGTTCAGGTTAGAAAATTTGTAATGTAGACAGTGGGGCGTATAGACTAGTGCCTATTGATTCGGGGCGGCTACGCCATCCCGAACGAAAAAAAAATTACATAACCTATCTGCTTGAGACCTAACCGCTTAGAAATTACAGCGTAAACAGTGTCCGCTTGGAATATTTCTATCCTAAGAAGACAATGGGGTAGGAGAATAATCTTTTTAGAGAGGTCTTTTGACTGTCCAGGCTGCAACTTCTAGTTAAGCCCCAAGCGGGTAGGAAATTATTTTTTTTTGTTCGGGCGGTTACGCCGAACAAAAATAAAATCTATACATCCCACTGTCTACACAACAGATTTTCTAACTTCACAACTACAATTATAGAAGACATTATAGATCCCTTTGCAGGGGGAGTGGGAAGGGTGAGAGTCGCTTCGCATAGAAAGTCGAAACCCATGTGAAACAGTACAATTATAAACTTCATTTTGTCTCTGACAGATTTCCTAACCTAAATAGTCGTGAACATTAACGCGTAATATCTCGGTTCGCGGGACAAAGCGACTTGTTTTTGCCAGCTTCTTTCGTTTCATGCAAAACCGCGTTGAATAAGCTTAATTTCATCAAAATCGGCGAAAAGGACAATTCTTGAGTATTACCAAAACATAGACGCCGCTTCGTCATTTTTGTCAATTATCACATGACTTATTTTGACGCCGAAAATGAGCATCGAGCGCAAGCATGAAAAGGCACCTTAAGCTGTAAGGTCCAGTTTCAAAATTCATAGTTCACTCTTAAGCAAGTTCAACTTATTCTTCATCTCTTTCTAGTTCAAAAATTAGTAAGAGATACTGACTGCGTTCAGAAGACAAAGCAATTTCGCAATTATTGTAAAATTCTTTAATATGATTGCCTTTAATTTATTATTGGATCTAATTGTATAAATTAATCATAATCAAAACTTTTACAATGGTTGTAAAACTACTTTTTCTGCTGAACGCAGCCAATGAATAAGTTAAATCTCCGTTCAGAGTTAATTGTGAGTTGTGAAACTGGGCCTAAGAAATTGACTAATTAGAATTAAATGAATGGAGAATAAATAGGTGCATTCAGTATTATGGCCGTAGTCGGATTTTATAATTAACACCGTTTTAAGTACAGTCTTAAGTTGTCATGAACCAATCAGAGGGTCGCATTAGCGACGTAAGATAATACTTAAGACGGTCCTAAAATAAGAATTGACTATGAATACTGGCCTATGACCGCTCACTAAGCGCTCAATGGCTGCGTTCAGTGGACTCACCAGTTGAATGAACGCTCGCCGCTATTAGGTACGTTCAGCGGACTCAATAGTTGCGTGAGCGGTTGCTATTATTTGTGTATTCTTATAGATCATCCAATCAGCATTTTAGATCTGGAAAAATACATTAAAAATGTATTCTTCCAGATCTGAAATACTGATTGGATGATCTAAAAGAATATACCAATTCCCCCTCTGGGCATACTTTCATTTTCAGATAAATTCCCCAGAGGGACATTTCCCCTCTGGGATAATACAAAATTACACGGCTAGGCCGCGCGCATAAATATATATATTTATTGCGGGGGACAAAGGCCCCCCCGCATGGGCATTACAACTAAAGGCTGGGGGACAAGCCCCGAAACGCAAGAGGCGGAAAGAGGAGGAGGAGGCGGGGTGGCGGAAACGCACCCGCCTAGGCAAAGCCGGGACCATTTGGTCAGGGAGTGGCTCGCGAACATGTATCGGCAAATTCAACTTAGGATTACAACTATTACATTTAATCAAAGATGACGAGAATGAGTTCGTAGGCTAAGCGGAAACATACGGAGCCTCTTCTCAATAGTAATTGAAGCTTAGGTAATTTATTCAATGTTGATTCAATGTTAACGAAATAGTAATGAAACATGAAAGTTAACGTAACGTTAGGCCGGTTGACGTAGTATTAACATGCTTTTAAATTTACTGAAATGCTGTATGAAACTAATCAAGAAAATGATAGGCGGCAAAGGGAGTTTCGCTCTTGATACAATTTATTGTAGTATCTTATCGTAAGATAGCTATAATAATTATTATCTAAACTAAGTCCAGTAATAATGACGGAATCAGAAACGATAGTGTGCGTGACAATATGTATAAATTACATGTATTTCTATGTCAGCCACGTAAAAGATGTACTGATTATGATTTTAAGATTTTGTACGTACGAACCAAGAAGCTCGCGCGATGTGGCAACATCCCAAGCCCAATACCATGTATGTCGACACCACCTACCACCCTTTATTTATCAGAAAACCTCTTTAGAAGTAATCTACCATTCCAGGCGAGGCAGCGCGCAAAACATAACTAAGTTCATATCGGACCCCCCCGCCAAAATTTTGGAATACCTAAAAAAAAGGTCATCAACTTCAACGCCCAGGATTCCTAAAAAAAAGGTCCTCAGATTTCACGCGTGTGGGTCTTCCAAAAAGACCAACCCCCCTGGACCCGACCCGACCCTCCGGGTCGGGAAGACCCCCCCTCACACCGGCGACCTTTTTTTTTTTTTTTTTTTTTTTTTTTTTTTTTTT